TACGTATGAAATGCTCAAGAGGCATATCATTTTGTCGTTCGGAATGTATCTCTACATATCCACTCGAAAAGATTCATACTACGTATCAAGCTTCTCACGGAAGCATAGCAAGCAGCATATATGCTCTGTGTCGTATGGCGTGGTCAGGATTGAGGGTTTGAAACCTTAAGTTTGATTTTCGGCTTTTAGTGCACGGGTATATCCCTCTAATGTACTACGAGCTGAAAGAATTGACTTTGAGCATCAAAAGTATCTGGCATTGGTTTGGCCTAATTAGTGGTTCACCGGCTGTTTGTAAAAAGCTAAGAACCATCCATGTATGCACTGTGCCTGTGTCCTAGGACCTGGACAGTCAACTATAGATACTCGTGGCCCCATGCCCAGTCATACAGCTAGGTGGCAAAAAGTTTCATACGCTGCATAAAAGGCCCAAGCATGCGTGCTTGATTCAGATTCAATACATCAAATCGGATCTTTGTTTATGCAACATCAAATGTACAATGCCTGGGGGAAGTTATAACGCACCCTTTTTATGCATCGATCACACTACTGTATGTCTCGCCAGAAATAGCACTGGCACTGCATATTATGCAGGGGTGCACTGTATATAGTGACCGAAACTGCATATCCATGGGCGGCTAAGTCTAAATTATGCGCGCTAAATGTAAAACATGCACACACCCCTTATGCAAGCCGTATGATTCTTTTTGCCACCTAGCTGTATAGGGAGCGCCATAGGAGTGAATTTTGCGACCTTGGGCTTGTTCGGAGCCCAGACTGACCAGCAATGGGGCAAAATGTTGATTTCGTGTTGAAAGGTACATTGATATAGTTGAGTTCATGCTCGGTAGGTAGTTACCGGGGATTGCCGAGGGTTGCTAGTCCAAAATTGGTCCCCTAATCAAGATTGAAGTCAGCGCTTGAGATATCCAGATCCCGGAAGCGAATTGTAAAGTAATCATCCGAGCTCTAAGTGCGGTCGCATATTCAATTCTACGCATAAATAACTTTCTTACCAGTGGAGAGCTTATAATCGGGCTTGGGTTGTGTCGGATATTCTAGTAACTGCCTAGTCACAGAGCTCCCAGGCTCGCTGCGTCTACGTTGTATAATTACTGGATGCACATTGCATACAGGCAATATGTAAGCGGACATTCAAGCTTTTGATCTCTATTTGGGTTAAGTATGGTTGAATATTCTAAGGAAACGTAGAATGGCATGTAGGTTCTATATTCAGTTCTTTATTTTCTCGGGTAGGCTTGGTGCTGTAGTTATGATGACAGCATCTGAGCAGTTGAGTTCTATGACAACCTGATGACTATTGTGAAATATCAAGTGGTACATGTCATGTCATGCACTCATCAAAGGATATTGCTGCAAGAGTTTTTTACCACGCTCATAGAAAGAAAAAAAAAAAAAACTTCGAACTCATACATTCTCGTGGAAAGGCTCAAGTATATTTGCTGGCGCTCAGAACGCAATGATTTGAAAGGGAAAGCTTCAATCTGATATGGCAATTGACCATCCAACATTCAAGTAAAACAACGGTAGTACGGAAAGGAAACATAGAATTACAATGGATATTTAAAGTCCAAGTGAAGTCATAGTCCCAAACGATCTCACACCTGGAGAAATTGATGCATTAGGTTCAACCTAAGAAAGTCTTGGAACTGGTATGCGCAATGTTGATTCCTAGTTCATCCATATTTCTGGCATTTCACTTGTATAGTCACTCATGATAATAATACTTACTTCGACTGTTGTTAGTATCATTCCATAAATATATACACAAGGATACCACATAACAGTCTGGTGGAAACTTTGGAATCATTATGTCACATTAACTGTATTTTGTGCCTACTAGCATCAATAGCTCGATACGGTGGAAGATACTGGATAATCATAAAACTCTTGCATGGTTCTCCTTGTTGTATCGGGCTGAAAGCCTTGGTGGTTAGAAGATAAGTTGATTATGAGGCTGTATTCTTGATGTTAATTTGTAATCAGTATGCTAATTATCTATAAAGTCACTGGTAGATGTAACAAAGTCTAAGTTGGGCACCAATGCCAAGGACGATTCGCCCGTTGGAAGGGGTCTGTAGCATCCCTGCCTTCTTTCTCGGCCCTCATGATACAGTACCCAATAAAGGCAGGTACTTATCACCCTCGTAGGTAGAGCATCACTTACACTAACCAGATTTAGTCCTGCACCAACCAGATTAGAATCTTGTTATCTGTAACTAGTAGTCCACTATGCCAATATGGGAGACACGTGTATCCCTAGAGCTCACATTCCGTTATATAGCCCGGTAATAGCCCGGTCTCTGCTCGAACCATATGACTGGAGGTGTATTCTTAGCTCTGTCTCCACACACTTCTTCTCTTATTAAGACAGGTGGCTATGACTAGCGTACCGGCAGAAAACTCTGGATTTTGAGTGTATTATGGTCAACTTGCCAAGACGCTTTGCTAATTCACCTAACTACTTTCGGTAGCCTGTCGTTGCTATACAGCAGTCAAATAAAACAACATTTCAAACAACGGCAACTTTCCACATAATATGGAGGTTTCCGAAAGGGCCATTCGGTTACTATATTTGATCAATTGCTCCAGACGTACATGTTCGTAGAATGGGGTCTGGATTGAGTCCAGAAAATGTTTTTTTTTTAAAACGGATTCAAACAAATACGGATAATATTTGTAGACTGGGCTCGCGGACTACTGAGGTGTAGCTTCCCGGAAAAGCTGTTTCAAAGGGGGTGCCAACCAGACCATCACGGGGGGTTGTTGAACGCTATCGATATCAGAGCTTGTGGCCAAGTCTCGGTGAGTGTCCCCTTGGTAGGTAGGTATACTTGGATTACTTCCGGATGTGTGAGTATAGTTGAGAGGCGGTGCCCCCCAGACTAGCGTGTAACTCTGTGCTCGCCTGGAAAAAGGTGAGCGGGCTACAGCACAACCTAGAGGAGGCTCATTCTTATATACTCGCGTTAGGCATAAAAAATTCGGAAAGGTAGCGGAGGAGGTTTAGTACAGTTTCTCCATTGGAGAGGGCATAATTCAAAGATATATAAAGGGTTAAAGACGAAACGTGGTAGGCTGCTGATGTGCTGTCCCAGCAAAATATGAGTAGAAATCTGTATTAACATTTGAGAATGATCTCTGTTGGAGTTGAAGAGGGTCATCAAACGTTATGTCAATGTATTGGGCTATCAATTCAACAAGCGAAATATTGACATAAATAGTGGCGCCAACGTTAAAATTTATCACCGCTGATTGGCTAGGTACTGTACAACTCGTTATTGCAATAGTTAGCGTAGTTCTGAATAGTATATGATCGCTTTCCCAAACCTCCGCAATTCAACTGGATCGCACTCCTGTAGTAGATAGAACTTCACTAGTTCGCCATAGCATTTAGACTATAGCGATTGAACTAGAATACAAATTCTTCTCTTATACAGAATTACTTCTGCTCATAGCCTCGCAATCTTACAGCGACTGCGGGGGTGGAGGCTTCTGCTCGTTTTGATAGCTTGGTCTTACTGGGACTTGCCTCAGATATCTCAACCTTCGTATCGCGATGCTTTCAGTAGAGCGCCGGGCTCATAACCTGTAAGATTACGAGGCTATGGGCAGAAGTAATTTTGCGAGAGAGAAGAATTTGGATTCTAGTTCGATCGCTATAGTCTGAATGCTATCGTGAGCTAGTGAACCTCTATCGACTACATGAGTGCGGTCTAGCCGCTTATATGCTTGTTCTTGACCCGTTTTTGGCCCCATTTGTCCTAGGCCTTCTTGTCACTGCATGAGAGTAGTTCCACATAAGAAATATATATCAAGTATAGAGGATTATCAATATTTCATTTATCTTGTAGCCTTCGTCTTGTCTTTTTGCTTTCGGGGGAGATTTCGAGGCCTTGCTTTTCCGTTCACGTGAAGCCAAGACAAACGTCGTTGGATCTTCGGGTACAAATCAGACTAATCTTCGGGAATGCTCGATGGATCACATCTAGTCTGGCGGCCCCTCTCGCAGAGAGATCACATCATCATTTTTATCCTTACTTCCACTAATCTATGCATCACCTGTACCACAACACGGACCACAAGCTCCAATCACTGCCTCGCAACCTCCACCCAGCGAAGTAATGATTACCACCCCGACCGCGCCTCCGATAACTTCACTCCTCTTTCCTTTCCACCCTCCACTAGCATCCCAAATACCACAATTACTAGGATAACTGGGGATGGTACTGTACTAGCCATGCAGATCCCCCCACCATCTCCTTCGTGCAACAGGCAAGCCGGCATCTTGGAGGGATTGCTCTCGGGACGTGACAAGGAGGTTTGGATTGATAGTTAATGAACCGGTGCAGGGGACTACTATAGCTAGCATGGCTGTACTCGAGGAGGGGAATAAGCAAGTGAGGGTAGGAGCGGAGGGTGATGCTGGTGCGAAGAAACTGGCTATGGTGGCGTTATGTATTTGTTGTCCGACTAGAGGTATTCCCGTTCCTATATATGAATTTCTCCTCTAAGGGCCCCTGTGTGTGGGGGGGCAACAGTTGAATCAAAGTCCTCTCCACCTATGGTGAAAGTGAACTAGTGTCAACTAAGCGTTTGTGCTATAGCTGACTAGTGGAGTATCAATATTAGCAATGGAGGCAATAAACTTGCTACGGAGGGGTTATCCAACTAGACAAATCAATTTGGCGGCTTCTTGTCTGCAGAAATCAAACTTCCCAAGTGTCGGGTGAATGTATAGGCCAGGGCTGGTGAAACTTCAAGCTGTTTCTCCTGATTATAGGAAGAACAACAGTGGGGTGCGCTGCTCAACATTCATTAATAATGCAGGGCGGTCATGCGCACCGATATCTTTTTGGAGGAGTCATTGGCTCAGAGTGCAAAGCATCCAAAGATGGGAAATGGTTTTGTGGATGTATTCTTCGGGATGCATATGCCAATGGAGAGGCAGAGCATGGGGTAAAAAGGCAAAAATATGCTCCCTCCGACCAGAGTCGAACTGGTGACCAACCGGTGCTCCGCAAGGAGATATTCCATTACAGCCGGGTGTGATACCAACTACACCACAAAGGGAATTCGATGTCGGTTGGTACCTCGCCTTGATTGATAATCACAAAATGCCGCTCTCACCACAACCGCTTCGGATACAAATATCATATACACTATGCACTAGCGAGTCTATTTGTTTAATTTCTGAGTTGGTTCTTTATTTGAAGAAGCCTAAAGAAATACGAGATCTAAGGGACAGCAGAGTAGTACTTAAGTAGCAATGGAGAGGCCAGGAGAGTAAAAGATCAGTATTACCCTGAAACTATCTACAAAGAATTACTCTAGAAAACGCCTTGAGGTGTTAGCAAACTCATGATTATTCTTGTGCTGTTAGATATTCACCACAGGTTCATATTCAAACTAGAATTGCTGATATTTAACTTTCACCAGAATGGAGTCCAGCGTAATGAAGAGTCAAATTTGTCAAAGACGCCTGGCTCTCCACAATTTATCGTTCCATCTGATCTACTCCGCCCTTTTCTTGTCTCTGTATTTCTCCCTCGATACGCAATCAGGAAGCAATTCGGAACTAGTCTTCGCGACAGAACACTTTCCCCTAATTGTCAGTCGACTTGCCGCTCAGAAAGTCAACAATTAGATTCAATATAGGTGCAGTCTGTATGGATGTCCTCCATGAGGGGACAAACCGAAGGAGCACCCTGAGCGATGTCAAGACTTGAGATCCCTCGCACATACATGTCGACGCCTGGGGATAATCCTGCAAGAGGGGGTTCGCCGACAATGATTTAGTCATTTTCGAATCCCTAGCATAAAAGCTCTTGACCTTCTATATACCCCTAGGTACACGCATGGTTTCCAAAAATATATGTATACACTCTCCATCGAGGGGAGCGGAAGGGACCTCAATCTTCCAACAACTGATTGTCCCAAAGAAGTCAAGCGCCTGCTTTCGGATTGTACCAGCCTAAAGAAACTCGTCTACGGTCCAGATCCCATAATACACTGTGATATGTCTGTTGCATGCTTGCAGCAACTGGCGAAGACAATTTCTCTCGTCAAGAATCAGCTTAAGGAGCTACATCTAAGATTCAGAATCCTTTCATGCCGCCAAAGCATCCCTGTGGATTGACAACTGAGAGAATTTCCAAATGTGACAAAATTGACCATTCCAGTCACTATGTTGATTCAAGGCTGACAAGTGCGTACGAACTTAGGATTGTCGGATTTGGATAACGAGGTGCTGAACATGGACCATAGGTGGATCATTGGCCGAAATTTTTATCCTCCGATCCTCTCCGGTCTCGGTTTGTATCCGAGTGACCACACGGAGGGAATGATCTGGCGTGGGAGCAATCCACTGTAGATTATAGATAGTGCTATTCGAAGGCCTACTTAATGAGCAAATGCCACCGTGGTCTATCAATCGAGGTTGCTATATCTTGGAAAACCGGGAATCCACCCGACAAAGCATGAATGTCAGCGTTTACAAAATGGCAGCCTGAGGCCGCGTATTTGGAGTGGAGATGTCAAGATCTGCCCCGGATCCTGAGCTCCTTAAAATAAGGCCATTGGCGTGTTCAATGAACGGCTTGGGAGAGTGCGATATGTATACCATAGGGATATTGGAAGTGCAGATGAAAGGCGGATCAATCCAGATTTCCCACACCTATATACATTGTTTGTTTTGCCGTTGGTACTCCAAATTCTAAAACTTTCGCATAAATTTGTATATAGGAAGCGATATTTAAGATATTTGCTGTGCCATGGTTATCATTCAAAGATATCCATGCTGATTTTACATCGTCACCCCTGTGGGTTGTTGTCCACTATTTACTGATGGGAGATTTATTTATTTTTTATTCTTGTGTAATCTCAGGGTTTTGATATATAAAAGTGGCCAGAGCAATCCTGTATGCCAAGTTTGGGCATTTCGTTCTCTGAGATTCAATATCCAGTAACTTCGGAGCGTTTATTTCATAGACTCCCCTTCTACCTATATAGATCCCTTTCACCTTCCGAGCCTTGGCAAGTTATTTGTTCTCACTATATCAATTTCAGTGAATCAGACTGATACTCCGATAATTTCTCATTCGATTCTTCAGAGCTTTCTTCGGCTGATTCTGCCGTTTGCCGGAATTCATGGTATACTCCTGAAATTGAGGCAGATTTTCCTGGGCCTCATGGCTAGTAGATGGCAGCGCAAGGGGCTGGCTGATTGGAGCTTGTTGCATTGTTTATATCTAGGCTAGTACCTATATTTCTCCCGTCGTGAATCAGCTTCATGAAAACAACACTCCCACTTACTATGAATATTATTTTTTAAATCTTGTTATATTTATTATCATCTGATATGATTGCTTCATGATGGGTGGGGGAAGAAAGTGAAATCTGGTCATCGAAGTATTTCGAGCATGAGGTTGTATGAGTGAGCCACAGAACGGAGGATAACGCGCTGTCCATGCCTGGGAGAAGATGCATTCCAATACCCAGCGGACGATGCCCTGTTCTATGCGTATACAATTCGGTGGCAAATATATCATACCCTACATAAAGATGCAATGTATGTCTTACTCTTAAACCCATACAAAAGTCTCAGATATGCAGGCGTTTGGGCCTCTTTATGCAGGGGGGGATGATATTTTTTGCCACCTAGCTGTATGTAGTTCTCTCCGAATGCACTTTCGCGATATCTAAGTAGTGTGAGTTTTAAAGACCTGCCCTTCCTTGAGCCGTACTGGGGTTGTGGAAGAAATCAGTGGCCTTCTGGAGTTCTCCTGCTATAACCTTCTCTGCAAGCTTGCCTGTGGTGTTGGAAAGAACGATCGGGCGCCATCCTTTCACCTCTGTGTGGTCCTTACCTTCCCCGAAAAGATCGGGTTAACATCATCAACATACGACAGTAGCAAGAAGGTCGCCGCACGGTGGCTGTCCTGCCCCTCAGCCCCTCCCTTTCCCTTGTCGCTATCCTCTTCTCTGCATCTTTGATCATTGCAGACATATACACTATGAACAGGACTGGGTTCAGCGGTGAGCCCTGCGGTGTCCCCTGTGTCATCCTCGCCCTCCCAATTCCTTTCCCGTCTATTCCACCTCGAAAGCCCGTGGCTGAAGGAACCGATCCACCCATTCCTGCAAGTCCCGGTAGCCCTCCAGAATTTCCCTTATCTTCTCCTTTCTTAGGTGATTAAACGCTGACTTGATGTCTCGACTAAATATTGCCATCAGGATTACCTATCCTTAGACAACTTGTTCATCAGCATCACGCTGCCGATTGCCCCTCGACTCTGGTTAGTTGACCTACGTGGAATCGTGGATGGCGATAATGGGCTGTATTATCATAAATCCTGCTTGAGTCTTAGACTTCTTAGGGTCACTATGATTGATAATGTAACAAAGAATAGTTTGCCCCGTATGGATCTTCTATTTTTTTCCCCCTAGTAGTTCCTGTGAAATTGCCCCAAATGTTATACTAATCAAGCTATATAATATACAAGGTCGCCAAGAGGCTAGTCTGGTGTAAGTAGAGGCGTAGAGCGCCCTTACATCTACCCCCCTCCAAAAATAAGGCCGACCCGGCATTCTTCACCTTCCTCTGGCTTTTTCTGACAAAATCCTCCTTCTGCCTGATCTCCTTGGTCCGTCTCTCCCCATAGCGTCCACCGGTTCGGTCACAGTGCCTTCTACATGAACGTCTTTCGTACCAGTTTCCGTCTCCATCATTTTTTCTTCAGTGCCTTCTCTCATCCAAACCTTGCTTCTTTCCCTGAACTCCCTCAGTAGGTGTTTCCCAGTTCCCGTCATCGGCCTCGTCTTCTTCAATGATACCGCCTCGGATGTGCATCACGGCATGGTCCGATCCTGGAGATATGGGTCTGATTGTGGGGCGGGCCAAACCGAGGCCCTACCATGCCGGCCATAAGGTGAGGTAGCGGGGGCCGAGGGGCGAGAGTTGTGTAGATCAGAGTATAGCCTCACCGCTGATCGTCGTCCGACGTGGGGTGCGGGAGGTATTCGCTAGAGGTCCTGCTGAGCCTGCTCTGTTTATCTGGGTGGTTGGATCCTGTTGTTAGGGTGTTCTTCCTTTGTTCTAAGGGAGAGATCCTTTTGTCAAAGGCTTCCAGCCTCTTTGACATCGTCTCTTGCAGCTTCTCTAGCAAATCGCTCCTTTTCTTCTCCATGTCCGTCATGAATATCTTCATTTCTTTCATCCCTTCGTTCCAGTTATCTCCCACCTTCCCTTGTTCTCGATCCATGTGGTGGGTTTGGTTACTGTGGGGTTTCTGGTTTCGGGGGGGTTTTGGCTCTGAGGTGGGGTGCCTCCTCCATATTTCCTTCCTCTCTCCCGTTTCTGGGGGTTTGTGTGTCCACGGTTTCATGCTCCCTCTCGTTTTCCTCTACGCGGTCGTCCGGCTCCTCCTCCTCTTCGGCAGACGTGAGGATGTCTTCGTAACACAGGCTAGGTAAGGGCATGCCACCCAGATCCGGCATTGAGAAGGAACTCAAGGACCTCCTCCGCAAGCGGGTAGGCCAGGAGACTGCAATCGCCTGGGTCAGGAGTCACATCGGCATTCCGGGAAACGAGGAGGCAGACAAGAGGGCAGCCTATGAGTCGGCCCTAGGCCGCATCGCCGGGAGCCAACAGGTAGCCACCGCAGCGGGTATCAGGGCAGCAGCCAAAGCCAGGCGGAAGGACGTGTGTTCGGAACCCGGGTTCGGAGCCAACAGGTGCCTATGGCACAGACACGCCCTGTCGGCCTACACCTGGCTGCGCACCAACCGGGGCCCTCAAAATTACTGGCTCCACCTCATTCCCCGGCATGCCCCAACTGCGACCACCCCTCGGAGGACGGCCACCACATCACCTTCGATTGCCCCCACCACCGCCAGCAGCGCCAGGAGCTCATTGGAGATGCCAGGACTTGGGAAGAATTAGACACCCCTATATGGAGGAAAGAGGAGGGAGAGGAGGAGGAGGAGTGGGATGCGGTGGAGGCGTACTTCGCCTACCTCTACCACCCCCTCGCTGGACGATAAGAAAGAGGGCATATTCTTTATTGGCTGCG